ATGCTTCGCAATGGACTAGACGGCACCTAACAGCAGCAGAAGCAAGTCAGAAAGTATTGCTACAAAATTGTGTTGTTGGTGTGGTTAGGTGCCTGGGAAGAATGCATGTATGCACTGTTTTGATTCCAAAAAATGTCTTGGCCCAACTTCCTTGGATTTTTGTTCTCCAATGCAGTTTTCAATTTTCTTAAAACTTCTTCCACCCAAGGTAGCCCTGCGCCCTTCAGGAAAATCGGTCAAGATTATTCTTTGAAGTCCCCCAAATAGTTCCCAGAACCTTCTGAGCTGATGTCTGTGCCTTACGGTAAGCAGCCCAGCAGATTTTCTTAGAAGTCACTGTTGTGATGGGACCGTGTTCTCTGGGTCTTATCGGTGAATCCAACATTCATCCCGGTTCCTATTTGTTCCAGAAAATGGTCTTCATTTGTTCTGATCATGCTTAAAGACTAATGGGAAGCCCACATCTTTGAACCATATGATTTTTAATTTTTACAGTGAGATTAATTTAGGGAAGGGCAGGGTTCACAGAGCTCTATTTAAAAAATCCAAGGGCACAAATATCTTCATGAAAACTACCATGTAACTGTGTACATTTGAAGCTGGAGGGTGGAAACTCCGTCTTGAGGCCCTGCCATCGGGCAAAAGGCTGTGTGACAGCTACCACCCACCTGTTTGGGGGTCAGACTTTTCTAAAGTATCCACTTGTTCACAAATACACACAGCGGAGCCCCATCTCCCCACATGCTGCTCTCCCCCAGATGTCTCTGACGGCGGATCCTTTTATCTTGGGGTGTTAAGTCAGTTCAGTCAGTTCCAGGTTCCCATTCTCGTCTTCTTCCAGACTGGCACGCTCTCTCTTCTTGGCGAACGTCTCACCGCTGTCCCTACTGTGCTTCTGCACCAAAAGCCCTTTCTTAACCGGACACGTTGACCCCACTACTTCAGCTTCAGCTTCTTGGGTGTGGCTCTCGGAGTTCATCTGGAGCATTAACTTCTCCTTTTCGGGATTGAATCCTCTGAAGGACATTCTTCCAGAGCGAAGGGCCCGCCTAACAAAACGCTCTGCTCTTCCATCACCAGCAGTTTCTCAGTCAGCTCCTGCAGATCCAGGTCCCGGTGCCCCTCGCTGGCATCTCCTTCGTGGTTTTCTGAGTCTTCGTCCCCTTTGCATGAACTTCCTGTGCAGCAGATTCTTGGGCAACTTGGGCTTGTGCTCAGCCGCTGTGTTGCTCCCCACTAGATGATCTCTATGCCACAATTTTGGCTCTCAGTAAGCTGCAAGCTTGTTGAGGCCAAGATGTTCCCTTAAATTGAAAATGCGAATCATGTTCGATCCCTAATTCAGGTCTGTGTCCACCATGTCTGGACTTTGGCCAGACTTTCTCTGTTTGTCAAGATTGATGGTCCTCCTGACTTTCCTTAAAGTACTTGGTACCACTAATTTAAGTTAGGCAACTTAATCTTGTGGCAAAGCTTCAATGACTTAGGAAGTGGTCCACTTATTTATTTATTTTTAACAATTTAATATTAGCCTTGGCTTCAGAATCATTTTGTCACACAGCATAAAAGTATCCTCCCCCCTCCCCATTTTTCCTGAAGACATCCTAACAGATTTGGACACGCATGCTATTGAGAACTTGTTTCCACTGATTGGAGACATGTTTAAACACATTTTGTTTGAATAAACACATGCATATATGAAGTATGGCCCAGGTAGCAACATTTTTTTACTTATTTTCATAGTTGAAATATATTTCGATAACAGAATTGACAGGACATGCTGAGCGGGCTCTTTGTCTATTGAACGGTGGGATACTTCGCCATCGCCTCAGGTCATTAGACTCCAGGAACTACTCTTCTTTAGGGTCCGAGAATGCATGAAGCTCCGGATAGTGTATGGGCTGTGTTCTCTGCCTACATGCTTTCCAGCCTATCTTATTGTTGTTCTTACTGATCCTAAAACACAGCTCAGATGTTATTTCTGCAGAGACGCCATCCTTGATGCCCCAATATGTTTGTCTCTATCTTTTATTTTTCTCTTCTTATAAGAGTTGTTTTCTTGTGTCTTAAACTGATTCTCATTCATGCCCACCCATGTGTAAAGGGGATGAAAGCAAATTATTTTTCATCCCACTGTTTACTACAATGTTTTATATATTTGCCTTTTTGAAAAATTGACCATCTAGACATTATCATTCAACAAGCCAAACTCAAACCAAACTCCCTATCATTCAATCAGTGCCAGCTCACAGTGACCTGGAGGACACGGTAGAACCGTAACTCTTTCCAGGAGGAGGAAGCCCTGTCTGTCCCTGCAGAGCGCCTGGTAGTTTCAATGTGCAACCACTCCACCCCCAGGAGGTCCCCAACAAGCCACTGAAACGGCTTATTTTGGTCACTATTCATCATCATGGTGCCTTAAAAACCAAACCAAACTCACCGCCACCGAGTCAATGGTTACTCACAGTGACTCTCTATCATGCTGCCTCGCATATATAATTTTTGGCAACACAGGCAATTTGCTGAAGAAATAAAGTTTGACTTCAATGCCCTTATACTTTAAATTCTTTATTGTACTACCTATCATGTTTTAAATTTAGAATAATTTCTTCTGAATCCTTTTGGCGTCATCAACATGACATATTCTAAGGCATTAATGATGTTTCAGTCTGCATCGAGTTCTGACTCCATACCAATGTCTGCAAAGTGGCAATTTCAAAGGGGAATAAAAACAGTTACCTACACGTTAGTCTGGACTATCTATAGCTACAGCACAAGTGCTTTTAATTACTAAGGGGTACCAAGTAATTTTCTTTCTTAAAAGGAGTCAACAGGTCAGGTAATTTTGAGAACCTATGCTGTACACGCTTCTCAAACCCCAACCCCAGGTAAAAAATAATGTTGAGGCTGAAATGTATAGCAAAAGGTGGGGGCTGAACATGGCTGCCTGAAGCAGAATTCTCATTGTTGCTAGAAGTAAAATATGGCATGATCCTCTCAGGAAATAATTTAGCAATAAGCTTCAAAGACCTTGAAAGTGTGTGGTATCATGTATGTGTTTTGCATAAGATGATTTCCAAAATTACCTAAGTGAAAATATTTATACTAATTAAGTATGTGCTTTTGGAAGTGGGATTGAGCATATTTTTGTTAATTTTTCCACAATGGGAAATTTCTTGTAATAGTTAAAATCCCAGTAAAGATTAAAAAATAGTAAGTATTCATACTTTTGACAGTAATACCAATGATAAAAACCTATATTTATAAAATAGAGATGTGGTCAAAGGCTTATGTATAATGACAGTCACCACGTATTATGTACCCAAAAGAGGAAATAATTAAAATGTGCAACAAAAGGGGAGAAATGAATAAAATGAGTTCATTCAAATAATGGACTATTTAATAAAGTTCAAAAATATGTTGTGGACAATACTTAGGGACATGAAAAATGTTCGTTATTATTTAAAAAAATATGATCTAAATTTGTTTTTAAAAAAAGAGAGAAAATTAGAAAGATATATAGTAGGGATAAAAGCGCAATAAAATCTATCAAAATGTCATTATGGTCATTTCTGTATAATGGGACTCAATGTTACATCATTATGCTCTTTCTAGGTATTTCCTAATTAAAAATCATCATATGACATTTTATAATCAGATAATTCCAAATATATGATTTAGTAAGCAAAAAAAAGTCTGGTAATTCCTCTTACTAACAAGTGGCTATATTTCTATTCAGTACTCATGTCAAAGATGCATAAGACACGTGTGGCAGTTACATAATCTCCTGTCAACTTGCGAAGGAATGGAGTCTAGCCTGTCAATCAGGTTGCACCTTGATGACCTCATTTGGAGGGGTCACAAAGATAAATAGAATATTTATAAATATTTTTAATATTTTATGCTCACTGGAGACCAGATACACACACGCTCTGCTTCATCTTCCTGTTGACAAGAAACATGGAACTAAGCTAGAGCCCTGGAGAGAGCTGGAAGAATCACATGGAAACCCCAGCCAGCGCTGAGATGCTTCCACCACCACTGGATCCACAAGGCTCTCTACCCAGTGGCCTGTGATCTTCCTGCATTTGCAGTCATTGCATGCTTTGCGTGAGTCTGAAGAAGAATTTACAGACTGGTATCGGACAGACATATGGGCTAACTTTGGACTTACGGACTTGATCTGGACTAGACTGGGATGTTTCCTTAATGTACAATTGCTCTTTGATATAAAGCTCTTTCTTATACACATGAGTGTCTATGAATTTGTTTCTCTAGTCTACCCAGACTAACACAACACATATATTTATTTTCTAAAACTGTATGCTCCAATCCCTACCAACTTCTAAATCCTATCTCATTTTTATGAAAAAGCAACATACATTTAATACGATATGAGATTGTCATATTTTCTATACCTTGCATAACATATACTAGTGATACTTAAGGATAAAATTATTTGCAGTTAAATATATTTCAGAACTATCACAATTCTGTTTAGGTTTAGACATACTCTTTAAAGGTTTAAAAACATTATTTTAATAGCGTGAGCTACTTTTTGGAAATTTCATTTCTAAGGAGCATATTTAATTTCGGTCCCCATACTAGGAGTTAAGTCTGGCTATTGAAATGATGAAAATTTCTACCTCCACATCCATCATTGTCAGAAAGGCCTATCAATATGAGTGATGTGTGTGTGTGTGTGTGTGTGCGTGTGTGTGTGAAGAATATTTACCAAAATGTGGACAGTAGTCAGGTAATTGGTTCTGAGGAGTGATAGAACGAAACCTGAAGACTGAGGACAGATCTGGAAACAGCCATATATGGAAACAGATGTTACCACATCTTAATTATGCCTTATAGATATCCTATCAAGTGGAGTTTACAGACTTTAAAAAATCAACTATGGACAAGTACAACATATACTTTCTGAAATAATCAAATGTCTAATCCTTCCAAATAACAACAGTAATATAAATATACAAAAGTATAGGCACACATTCCATACAGTGAACATTTATTTGGCAAACACTAAATGCTTGCATTGTCCATATACCTTATAGAAAGAATGTGAATCCATTTCAATGGCTGTTTATTTAATTATGGAACATTTACGAAATCAAAAGTCCAATATTTGAAACAAGTCATTTTGAATCAATCTCTCTGGAAACAGGTCAGACATATTATTCATAACAAAATCAATTGGTATTATTTTCTTTTCATCATGTATCAATCAAATATACACATTCATAGCATAAGATACTTGTGAACTTCAATTCAACAAGTCCTAAAACATAAAAATTTTACTAGCAAAATTAACAAACTCATTTCCAGAAAGAGAATGTAAAAGGTATTTGTTTAAAAACATTAAGAATGCCTATTTAACATTCATGTCAAACGTTTTTATTCATGATCTGAATCTGTCTCCCATACAGTCAAGTGAAAGCATTATTAATTTGCAGTATAAAGATAAGCAAACAAAAACTTCACAGGGTGGGCAGGGGGGAGGAGCAGAATGGACAGAGAAACAAGTCCATGATGATATTAAATGATATTACTAGCTCTGTTTTAAATTTATTTGATGTGTATTTTGCGAGCAAACCAAATTCATTACATTCAAGGAAAAACACTACAATGTATTTGACTGTGTGCGGCTACTTTGTTTCTTTTACTAATTATTGAAGTTCTGTATTCTGCTAAAGGACACATTATACCTTGGACTCAATTGGACACATATGGTGTCATCAAGCATGTAAAACGTAAACAAGCCAGGCAGTCAAAACCAACATGCAGAAAGTAAAACCCCCTGGCATTCACTTTCATTTCCTTTGTAACCAGTGTCCTCAACAACTGCTGTTGGTTCACAGGCCAAGGGAAAGCCTATTAGAATCTCAACATTTTTAACAATGATCTCCGCGGGCTGTTATTTGTCTAAAAAGCAATAAGCCATGTAATTTATAAGAAAAAAACCCACTGAATCCTTCAGAAAACACAACCTGGCAATCTGTCTTCAATGTTAAATAATCAGGTGGCAGGAGTGTGATGGAGAAACCAGTCTTCGCAAACATCATGTAAGGGAATCCAGCTGTGCTTGTATGGTCTCTAGCTATTTATAAAGACAAAGAAAAAGAGAGACAGTTGGTGAAGGAAAAGATATTCATACAAAGTGCTGTTTAGAAACATGTAAATAGAAGAAAAAAATGACATGGGTAACTATGCATATTCAATTCACTCACATAGCAATAAAAATACCACTTTGAATATTTTTCCTTTTATATGACGATATTAGAATTCATGCTTGCAATTTAAGTTTTCAAATATGTAAAGAAGGTTTTCTGAATACTACTGTTTTAACTACACCCAGCTGTTTCATTTAAAATTATATTACACAGTAAGATTTTAAAAGTGGGTGAGGAAGGTAGACTATACTGAATTATGAGGTATGAGGGGGCTTCAGAAATGTGTGTGTGGGGCCTGGGACTAACATCTACTTATTATTTTAGTGTCCTTCTTACTTTACTATGACATACCCTAATACTGTAAGCATGGCTCTGCCTCTGTGAAGGAGTGTTATTGAAAGTTGTGCCCTATCACCAACCCTCGCTGTGTGAATAGTGTCCAGTCACTTAATCTGTACAAGTCATCAATTCATGTATTACACTTTGTAGCTGGCCTATACTTGTATACGTTCCTTTTCTCAACAATGTTTTAAATTCTATACCACCGTTGAATTAACGACACAATCAATAGAATTACCTTATACCCCAGGGGGATGACTGGTAAGCGTTCACTATCATAAAATGATGTTTCTAAAGTGAACCAGAGATATAGACGCCATTCAGATACATGAATGGATTTTGGGGTCACACTGGAGTCTACCCTCAATCGAAGAACAAGTAGTTCATATGACATGGCCTGACTCAATACTTGCCCTCATGAAGAGATCACTGAAATTAAGGTTGCTACAGCCAAGTGTCGTGAAGAAACCAGCTGGTGCGTGGCTATCAGAAAGAATAACGTACGGGTCTGAAAGGCTGAGGTGCCAGCTAAGTGTACAAAGAAGAAGCACACCAGCTTGTGTCATGCTACGATTGAAAATAATAGAATCCAAATTTGAAGGCGGGCGTGGCATCAGAGCTTAAATTGTGAGCACTCAGTTTGCAAACGGCCACGGATGAGAGTGGAAGTCCAAAATCCATCTGCAGGGTCCACGCAGGGATGAAGCCTCTGGTGCATCCCCTCTGACCATAGTCAAGGGCTGCGAATAGCCTTAGTACCAGAGAGGGAGCACTGGAAAGTCGATTAGGGAAGAGGTCGTTAGGATAAAATTTAATGTCTTATAATTTGATTCCTCCCTTTGACCATTTTGAAGTTATTTCAGTTAAAAAATCCGTGAAGGGGAAATACGTGTGGAGTAAACCTCTGGCGAGCCCTCTTTGACTACAGACCAGGGATGCGAAAAGCCTTGCTAAACTTTAACCTAACTGTATCTGCGATCATTCACTGAAAAGCAAATTTTTGCTGATGCACAGTTGTGTTAAAATAGAACACCATATCATTTGATCTCCCTTTTTACCCATTTTAAATTTGTCCTTGTTTTATTTTATGCTCTCTTTTTTATTGGGGCTTTTCTGTTAACTTTGTTATTTTTGTTTTTGGTGTATTTTCTGTACATGAAATCCAGGAGAGGAAATTCATGGGGATCGTAACCCTTCTGGGAGGAATGGCAGAGGAGGTTGTGGGGAAACGGGGAGCTATAAACAATGAGTACAAGAGGCAAGGAAATGTCTAAAAATTGAGGTTAGTCATGATTGTACAACTCTGTCTAATATGACTGAACTATTGAAATGTACATTATGTAAATTATATGCCAAATATAGATGTCGATAAAAAAATTAAAAGATAGATTACAGAATCTTAAAAAGAGTTCAAGAGAAAAGTAATTGAAAGATAATGGCATTTTTCCATGAACTTTTTGAAGCCCCGTTTTATTAGTGAAGAAATATAAAACTGTCTCAAGATAAACCTTTAGGGGGTTGGCACCTCCCTTTCCATAATTTCTTCACCCTTAGGCCTAGAAATGAAAGTATTTAACACTGCCTCTATCTAAAGTGTCAGGCTGGCCACAGAGTTCATTATTATTTACTGCTTTAAGTTAAAGCAATGGTTTTATTGCTTTAATTAAAGCCATTTCCAGTTTTTCCTGGCAGATTTTCTTCATTGCAGCTGTTTCCTACTGTAAAACATGGGTGCTCAAAGGGAAGTTTAAAGAACTGAGCTCCTTAACCGGGTATTTGAAAATAAGAACTTATAGAAGAAACATTCTGAAAGAACCCACATATCAGAAAACGATTTAAAAAATATATACCTTGTTATAGAACTCAAACAGCTCCTTGTGACTGAATTCCATGAGAACTTTCTGCAGGCTCTAGAGAAGAAGAAGAACAAGAAAAAGGACACCATAAGAATTGAGTCACATTGAACTGACATGGCACTGTTGTCTCCGTAGCTAGCACCAGAATATGCCATACTGTTACGTCCTGAGTTATCGGGAAAGAATGCCTGCTCTATTCGGTCCCACCATTCTTAGAACTCACAGCACACTTAGCAACACTCTACAAGAGCAAAAGGTTTCAACTCGACAGGGACATCTGTTTTAAATTGATTCCACAAAGGTTAAAAAAATATATGCCACAAGAGAATGACTTCATTATCTATTTTTTAACAGAGATAGTCCATGAGATTATAGGACATCTTTCTCAGCAGTCCACTTGAAATCTAGTAAATACTATCACACAAAGACACTGGAGGGGGCATGGCGCATTGAACCCATCCAGACAGGAAGTCTTCACAGCAGCACAGCTCCTGCCGCCAACACAAACCTCACGCTATGACCTTGGCATACTGACCTTGCTACCATTTCAAATCTACCGATTCCGCAAAAGTTAACAATTAACACAGGAGCTTCAAAGCTGGACTTCACCACACACACGCTCTCTCCATCCTTTCAGCTCCCATCTGTTGGAGCAACCTTTCTGGAAGCGAGAGGCTCCGTAAGACTGTGTGTGTTTGGTGATAGCACAGCAGCTAAGTGCCTGGTGGGTAACTGACCGGCAGGTAACTGTGGGGAAAAGACCTGGTGATCGACTCCGAAGAAATGCCAGCCAAGACAACCCAGGGGCAGTGCCACTTTGCCCGTGGTCACGCTGAGTCCCAATGAGCTCTGGAGCACTCACGACGAGAGAGTGAAGCGCAGCCATAAACTAAATTATACTGAACTTGCTTTTAGTTGATCCGGTAAGTTGAGGAGGCATAGAACTCACTACTGATGATTGTTAAAAGCATATTTATTTTGCTCAAGGCTCCCAGGGAACATGAAATTTAATGAGAATAAGCTACTTGCTCTGATCTCACTGCCATTTACTTAAAACCTACATCAAACTCCTTGCCATTGAGTCTACAGCTATCCTACAGGTAGAGGAATAGGAGCAAACAGTCAAGCCTTTCTCCCGAGGCACAGCTGATGGATTTGAACTGCTGAACTTGTGGACAGCAGCCCAGTGCTTAATCCACTACCCGTCGCCGTAGTACAGTACTACATGACATGAAATGGGGACCCTGAATTGAGTAAGACACATGCATTGGCCCAGGCACTTAATTGCTTCTGGTCATTTCTAACATACTATCAAATTCTAGTTCCTATGTTCTCTTACTGTGCTTGTTTGATCCACTTTTATGATTTTGGTTTTTACTTATAACGCCTTCATCTCCATAGCGAGTTATCTCTGTTCACTCCAGGATAGCAATGGGGGTGATGTTAGCAACGGCACATCTCTCTCCACAAAGCCTAATCACATAGGACCCAAGTCCACACTTCATTTTCTCTCCCAGGCCCACTGAAGACCTTCAACTTAAACATTAGTGCGGAAAAGACAAAAATGAAGTGAGAAAACATACACGTTTTTAAGTCTCATCCTTTAGGAATAATTTAAAACCATAAAAAATGTTAATTATCCTCGAAAAATCCTTTTTAACAGTTACAGGGGATAATGCCAAAAAGAAACTGAAGACAAAATCCCAAGCTCACTGTCACGGAGTCAATGCTGACTCATAGCGACCCCAGGGATTTCCGAGACTGTACCTGTTTACCAGAGTAGAAAGCCCTGTCTTTCTCCTGCAGAGCGGCTGGTGGTTTTACACTGCGTACCATGTGGATCGTAGCCCAATGAGTAATCACTACCCTACCCCCCAACCCCGACAATATTTGAGGTTGCTATGTGCTGGCCAGTTTGACTTACAGCAACCCTACAGGACAGAGCAGACCTGTCCCAGGGGGTTCCTACACTGTCATCTTTTCAGGACTAGCTGGACGGCCAAGTTTTGTCCCTACGGAGGGGCTCGTGTGTGCGAAGGTTAGAAGCTGAGCATTTAACTATTGTACCACCAGGACAAAGGCTACTTTACTTAGGATGAAAGTATGATCTGTGCTGTCCTCCGTGCCCACTCCCCCCACCCCCAGTGACTGAGATGAAACGTGTGTGTAATTTAGTGTCATGGTTTACTAGATACTTAGCACAAGAAGGATAAATGCATATACCAAAAAGTCTATACCCACAATGACTTGGAGAACACAGAGAATCGAACAGGCTGTACAGTTACTTAAATAACAATTTTACTTAAAAATTTTTCCAATAATTTTATTGGGAGCTCTTACAGGTAGCATAACATTCCATGGTTCAATAACATCAAGCAGTATTGTACAATTGCTACCACAATCAGTTTCAAAATATTTTCTTTCTTCTTGAACTCCTTGATATCAGTTCCCCTTTATCCCCTCCCCCTCCTAGCCCCAGGAAACTTTATTATTTCCCCATTATATATATGTATCTGTATATTGCCATATCGTACAGGATCTAATATGTCCATTCACATACAATTCTGTTGCTGAATCCCATTGAGTGAGGTTATACAGTTACTTAAGATTTTTAAGAATTCAGGAAAATTCATTCTTAAAAACAAAACAACAATTGTCAGTTCCAACAAATGTCTATGTATAAAGAATGTATCCCGAGAGTTTGAGAATCCATGTTTATCCAGGGGACAGTGTATACTGAAGCCTATTACATTCCTTATTTCATTTATTTCTCTACTAGTTCTATTCTCTCCCCTACTCTAGTTCTCTCAAGAAGGAGAAACAGAGATATAGTAGGTAACAACTGGAAGCACTAATACCTTTTGGTGAAGTGTTTTATCGAGTGCACTGTTCTTAGATAGGAAAAGACCAGGAAAAAGGAAGTCTCTCTTGAGAATTTGGCAGTACTATTAGACTTTAAGTAAGTTATTAATATTGTGAATCATTTATGTATGCGAAAGGTTATTTGCCTGTTAAAATAAATTTGTACATGAGATGACAAAAACATGGTTAGCAAGAAGAGAGACAGTGGATTGTTCAGATTTATATGCACAGAAGCTGAAGTCCGACAGATCTGGATGCAAATCTTAGCTGTAAGAATGAGATTACTGAATGTCTATAGATTTCTTATCTCATGTTCAAAATGGCCTATCTGATCAAACTGTTATAAGAAACACATGAAAACAACATGTATGAAACATTAGCACACTTCCTGGTATGTCTGCAACTTTTCAGACTTGGATAACCAGAGTTTAACTTGCATCTAGTTTGATTGATTAGCCAGTAGACTATCATTGGTTCACTTCCTCCTGGGAGGCAACCTCCACGGACTGCTGACGTCATTTCACTGGTAACCGGGGGGCGCTGTCAGGTGCATGCTAGACTGCTAACCTACAAAGCCAGCAGTTCAAACCCAACAGCCTCTCCACAGGAGAGAGATGTGAAGATTTATAGCCTCAGAAATGCCAGACACGGTTCACGATGGGGTGGAATTGATGATGGCAGTGGGTTGGGCAAAGTTTATAGTGCTCTGACTTGAATTAGATTATCCGTGAAGAAAAGCAATGTAGAACTAATCACATATTCATGCACTTGGCAATTGTTTGTCAGTGCGAAGAACACCAAGACAATGTGGCCACTTGGTTAATTTTATTCCAACATTTGCATCCTCTAGATTTCAGACAAGAAGCTTCAAACATAACACCAAGGATAATGTTTTATAAAGTTAATTATAGAAACCGACTGACATGACAGCTCAGCAATGACAGTAGACCCTGTGAGAGTGGGAACCTGTGTAAGGCAGAAACCTGCCAGAGAGACAAATCAGATATTTCCCACTAAAACAAGAAACAGAGATGTGGCCAGTCTGAACCCTGGCAAAGGAGAAAACTTGTGAGAACCAGACAAACGAGGCAGTCGGCTAAGCGTCTGCTCTCACGTTTCACAGCCTACTTGTATAACAATGTCACTTTGGGGGAATTTAAGTATTATGAAAAATTAATTCTTAAAACTAAAAATAATGAAATAAGAATACTACATTATTAAGACTATCAAAAATCTTTTTTGCAATGTATGAAACAACAGCCTTATCCAACCATATGTAATGTTTCACTACTCTAAATTACAATTTTAGAATTCAGACTCTCATTTAATCCCCTCCCTCTCTTTGCAAATTCCTAGCTTAAAAATAAAATAATGTGGTTGATATGACCAGAGAAAAGAGATAAGTATCACAGGTCTCTTAACTATTGAGCAACTTCCTTTCCCCTCCGGGTTATTAATTCCCTCAGCTCAGCCATCTGCTGCCATCTGAATAAAAGAGCAAATTAACTTCTTGACCTTCAACGTAATGACTCTCTAAAGGGGTCTCACTACTGAGGCACCTTCCTTCAGGTTAGCTGGGTAAGAAATAAAGATCAACTAAACTACTTAAAATTGCACTACCTACATGCCTCTTAGTTTATGCAAATGAAGAATTCAAACATTTTAAATCTCTTTTAGGTCTATGATTTGAATTTATTGTTACCTACCCCACTTGTTTGTGGTCACCATTCACCCACTTTCCCTTTCACAGGGGATGTCCTAAATAGGAACTTGAGGGAGAAACTGGAATTTAGTAGAAGATTATTTTAAAACTTTTCAGGATTTGAATTCTTACCATGACTATTTATTTTTAAAAGATGCTTTGCCTTAATAATTCCTTTTAAGCCCTACAATACTAATCAGTTTTAACAAATTAACTCTAAATCATGTATAAAATTGGGTCAAAATTAAACATCACCTTTTGAATAAATTATATAAGGGCCAAAAAAATCCCCAAAGGGAGTCTAAATATTAACACTTGCTTCTGAGTATCTTTCAGAAAAAACAACTAGGGCATTGGAATTACCTTTCAGAACAGGTAATTCTAGGCCTCTGCTCGGGGTTCATTTTCCCAGGAGAAACTAGAAGCAGTGTGCACATTCCTAAACCAATGGATAATCCAGGGCAGAAGCTGTTCTGTGAAGGACAGAGCT